CTTCGTGAAAAGTGTTTGTCCCTGGAACATAACCCTCAGCAGCAACGCGTGGCAGCCCATAGTCCGCAGGGCCCACTCCAACCACGACCTCCTCCACGCCGTAAACCCTAAACCCTAAACCCTAAACCCTAAACCCTAGGCCCTAGGCCCTGGCCTCTGGGCGTCCGCGCGGGGGGCGGGACCCGAGCGGCTCCACAGGCAACTCGAGACGCTTAATGCTGAATTCGCACTAAACCCTAAACCCTAAACCCTAAACCCTAAATCGGGGGATATGGCGGCGAGCGCTAAGTGGCGAGCAGGAAGGATGCAGTTTAGGAGCAGGCCTTGCGGCCACAGGTGCTAAACCCTAAACCCTAAACCCTAAACCCTAAACCCTAGAAGCTAAACTCTTTCTTCTTTCAGGTGCGACTGGTGCCCCAGCTGATCAACAAGCCTTTAGAGCCGCAGGATTTGCTGCCAGCAGAACCGCAGCTGCAGCAGCAGCTGCTGCTGCTGAAGCAGCAGCAGCGACAGCTGCAGCAGCAGCAGCAACTGCTGCTGCAGCTGCTGCACCAAGAGACCCTTGCAGACACACCAAACGACCAGCAGCAGCAGCAGCAGAAAGAGAAGAATGACTACCAAAACATGCAGCTGCTGCACCTGCAGCGGCTGCAGCAGCAAGAGCTGCTGCAGCAGCAACTGCAGCTGCTGTGGTGCCAGCAGCAGCGGGTTGAGCAGCAGCTGCAGCAGCACAGAGAAATGCACGGCCTCGCACAGCAGCAGCAGCAGCAGCAGCAGCAGCAGGATTCGGAGCGTTTCTATTCAGCAGCTTCTCACGAGGACGCCTCTGCTGCAGCAGCAGCAGCAGCGTCTGCTGCTGCTGCTGCCAGCAACCAGCAGCAGCAGCAGCAGCAGCAGCAGCAGCAGCAGCACAGCGTCCCTTCCTGCGTCATTTCCTCGGAAACTGCTGCTGCCGTTGCTTCTCCTGCAGGAGCCCCGGTAGCACCAGCAGCAGCAGCAGCAGCAACAGCAGCAGCAGCAGCAGCAGCAGCAGAAATGCCTGAGGGAGATGTGCTGCAGGATGAGTCCGGAGATGACAGCGACGGCAGCGAAGAAGAACTGGAGGCGCCGCTGCTGCCCCCGCTGCGGCTGCCGGTTGCTGCTGCTGCTTCCTTGCGGAGCAGCAGAAGAAGCTCTTTCTCCTCCAGCTCTGAGTCTCTTGGGCTCTGAAAAAGTGCAAGTACATCCCAGCAGCAGCCTTCCATTTGCTGCTGCTGCAGAACCGCAGCAGCAGCAGCAGCAGCAGCAGCAGCAGCAGAAACAACAGCGACCTGGCTGCTGTCGAGAGGGTCCGCAGCAGCAGCCGCAGCAGCAGCAGCAGCTGCTGCTGCTGCAGCAGACAGAGGCCGCCTGCTGCTGCAGCCCGACTCGAGTGCGCCACGGGGCTGCGGAAAGTGAGCAGCAGCAAGAGCAGCAGCAGCAGCAGCAGGGAGCTTGCTGCCTGCAGCAGCAGGACCAAGAAGGTGCTGCGGCACTGCGCAACCGAGGTCCTGCTGCTGCTGCTGCTGCTGCTGCTGGTAGTTCAGACTCTGCTGCTGCTGCTGCTGATAGCAGCAGCGTGGCTTCATTAAGCTGCTGCAGCAGCAAACTCTGCAAAGGCCGCCAGAGGCGCAGCAACAGGATGAGCAGCAGCAGCAGCAGCAGCAGTAGCAGCGGCAGCGGCAGCGACAACAGCATCAGGACCAGCAACAGCAGCAGCAGCAGCAAGAATAGAAGCAGCAAGTACTGCAGCAAACGAAAGGGAACTGCAGCAGCAAGATGGAGGAAAGCCTTAGCTCCAGCGCATGCATCTTGGAGCTGCTGCTCCCCCTCACCTACCCATGATGCAGCAGCAGCAGCAGCAGCAGCAGCAGAACAGCCGGAAGCTGCTGCTGCTGCTGCTGCTGCTGCTGCAGCAAACCCAGGAGGTGCAGTGCAGTCCTCGCCTGCGGTTTGTCTGGCAGCACCAACAGCACCTCCCCCTAGCAGCAGCAGCAGCAGCAGCAGAAGCAGCATTGGCAGCAGCAGCTGCAGCAGCAGCAGCAGCTGCAGCAGCTGCAGCATTTGCAACGGCAGCGGCGCCAGACACAAGAGGAGCCCGACACCTGAAAGCTGCTGCTGCTTTGATGCCATTGGGGGGGACAACCTGCAGCAGCAGCAGCAGCAGCAGCAGCAGCAGCAGCAGCAGCTGCAGCTGCAGCAACAGCTTCTAAGCGCAGACCCAGAAACAGCACAGCCGCCGCTTTCCTTAAGGCACTACCAGGAGCAGCAGCAGCAGCAGCAGCAGCAGCCGCAGCAGCAGCAGCAAACAGACCTGCAGCAGGAGGAAAATGCGAGACAGGCACAGCAGCAGAAGCAACAGGAGCTGCAGCAGCAGGAGAAGCAGCAGCAGCAGCAGCAGCAGCAAAAGCAAGCGGGAACTGCCGACCAGACAACAGAGGTTAGTCCGTTTCAGTTTTGTTGCTGCTCCTGCCTTTGCTGCTGCTGTGGTTGTTGTTGCTGCTGCTGCTGCTGCGGTTGTTTTTGTTGTTGCTGCAGTACTTCTGCTGCTATTGTTGCTGTATTGCTGCTGTTGCTGCGGTTGCTGCTGTTGCTGCTGTTGCTGTTGCTGCTGTTGCTGCTGCTGCTGCTGCTGCTGCTGTGGGCCCTAGCTTTAATGCTTAAAGTTTCCCTTCAGCTATAAGCTGCCTGCTGTGCTGCAGCAGCAGCAATTGATGACTGCAACGCCGGCTGCAGCAGATCCTGCTGCTGCTGCTATTGCTGCTGCAGCAGCAGAGACAGGAAGTTCCTTGGATCTTCGTGCTGCCGCTGCAGTGCCCACAGCAGCAGCAGCAGCAGCAGCAGCAGCACCATCAGCAGCAGCAGCAATAGCAGCAGCCCCTGGCTGTGGCCTGCTGCCTTCAGACTCACCGCAGCAGTTGGCGTTGCTGCTGCAGCAGCAGCACGCCGCCCTTGTGTGCATGCAGCAGCAGCTGCTGCTGCTGCAGCAAGCTCTCGCAGAAAAGCAAACTGCAGCAGCAGCACCCCAGCTGCTGCTGCCGCCAGGTGGCTGCTACGCGCCTGCTGGAGCAGGCGCTGCTGCTGCTGCTGCTGCAGCCCCGTGGCAGCAGCAGCAGCTGCAGCAGCAGTTGCAGCTGCAGCAGCAGCACCCAGTCTCTTTGCCTTTGCCAGTGCTGCCTCCCCCCACTCCATTTTGTGTGCTGCTGCCGCAGCAGCAGCAGCAGCAGCAGCTGCAGCAGCTGGTTCCACTGCAGCAGGTGGTGAGCCCGCATCTTCCCACGCCGCAGCAGCACCCGCTGCTGCTGCTGCAGCAGCAGCAGCAGCAACCGCAGCAGCAGCAGCAGCATTTTGTCTCTTTCGATGAGCATAGGGCCCCTGGCTGCCTGCAGCAGCAGACCTTCAGTGGTGGCTGCTACTTCGACTCCCCGCCCCAAGTGGGCAGCAGCAGCAGCAGCAGCAGCAGCAACAGCAGCAGCAGCAGCAGCAGCAGCAGCAGCAGCAGCAGCAGCACTAATTTGCAGGAGGGCCCTTTTGTTTCCCCTGGCTTTCCTTCGTCTCCTCTTTGCGTAACTGCTGCTTGGCAAGTTTTTTAATTAATTTGTTTTTTATTTTTTAATTTGAAATTATAATTACAATTAAAACTCTAATTATATAATTATAATTATTTAATTATATTTTTAAATTTAAAATATAGTTATGCTAATTCTAATTATGTGATTTTAATTATATAATTATAATTATAAATTATAAATATAATCAAGATTAGAATTATAAGTTTTATTACATTTATAACTATACTTGTAATTGTAATTATAAACACTTATAAATTGTAATTATATTTATAAATTATATTTATAAATTATAATTATAATTATAAATATAATTACAATTATATTTATAATTATAAATTACAATTATAATTATAAATTATAAATGCAATTACAATTATAATTATAAATTGTAAATGCAATTATAATTATAATTATAATTGTAATTATAATTATAATTATAATTATAATTATAATTATAATTATAATTATAAATTGTGAATGCAATTACAATTATGATTATAATTATAAATGCAATTATAATTACAATTATAATTATACATTATAAATGCAATTACAATTAAAACTATAATTATAAATGCAATTATAACTATAATTATAATTACAATTATAATTATAAATTATAAGTGCAATTACAATTAAAACTATAATTATAAATGCAATTATAATTATAATTATAATTATAATTATAATTATAATTATAATTATAATTATAATTATAAATGCAATTATAATTATAATTATAATTGTAGTTCAAATATATTTATAATTTTTAATTTTAAATGCAATTATGAATATCACTAAAAAAGCAACTTTAAATATAATTTTAAATGCAATTGGAAATATTTGAAATAAATTTTAAAATGTAATTATAAATTTAAATGTAGTTTTAATTATAATTGCAAATATATTTATAAATATAATTGCAAAATTTTAAATATATTTGTCTATGTTGATATTCTTATTTGCATGCTGCTGCTGTTGCTGCTGCTGCTGCTGCTGCTGCTGCTGCTGTTTCTGGTGTTGCTGCTGTTGCTGCTGTTGCTGAAGCAATCCGCGGTCAGTCTGTTTGCTTTGGCTGCAGGACGTTCAAGCCAACAGCCGACCCGCAGCAGCAGCAGCAGCAGCAGCAGCAACAGCAGCAGCAGCAGCAGCAGCAGCAGCACCAGCAGTAGGTGCAGCAGCGGCAGCTGCAGCCGCCCAGATCACCACTGCAGCAGAAGCAGCAGCTGGTGCAGCGAGTACAGCAGCGGTGGTAGCAGCAACTGCTGCTGCAGCTGCTGCCACTACCAGCTTAACAGCAGCAGCCCCTGCTGCAGCAGCAGCAGCAGCTGCAGCAGCAGCAGCTGCAGCAGCAGCAGCTGCTGCTGCAGCAGCTGCTGCAACAGAAGCAGGTTATCGAATTATCGACTGCAAGTGCTGTCCATACACCCGAACGCAACTTGAGCATTTGCTGCTTTTGTTGTACTTTTGAGATTTACTTTTTTGTTTTTATAATTCAAATAAATATATTAGGAAGCAACTTATTTATTCTTTGCTGCAGCAGCAGGTAGCTGCGCTGCAGCAGCAGCAGATAGGAACGCTGCAGCAGCAGACAGGCATGCAGCAGCAGCAGCTGCTGCTGCGGCAGATATGCACATTGCAGCAGCTGCTGCTGCAGCTGCAGCAGCAGCAGACAGGCGCACTGCAGCAGCAGCTGCAGCAGCAGCAGCAGCAGCTGCAGCAGCAGCTGCAGCAGCACGGCGCAGCAGCTGCAAAGCCAAAAAAGCAAATTGAACAGCAGACAAGTGCCAATAATGCAGAACAACACCAAACTAAACAACAAACAAACAAACAAATAAATAAATAAATAAATAAATAAATAAATAATAAATAAATAAATAAATAAATAAATAAATAAATAAATAAATAAATAAATAAATGATAAAAGAGTTGCTGCTACTGCGGCCTGGCGTAGCGTTCTGCGGGGGTGCCGACGAAGTGCCGCAGCAGCAGCCAAATGTCAGCAGCAGCAGCAGCAGCAGCAGCTTGCGTGAAAGCAGTTTCAGCAGCAGCATCACTTCTGCCTTTTCCTTGAATAGTTTCGTTGCTGCTGCAGTGCGCAACAATGTGGACAGCTCCCAGCAGCAGCACGACGCGGAGTTCTGCTGCTGCTGCTGCTGCAGCGTCGCTCACGGCCGCGCCCGCAGCAGCAGCAGCAGCAGCAGCAGCAGCAGCAGCAGCAACTTTCTCCTCCTTTTCGCAGTACGCCGCCAGCCGCGCGGCGCTCGGCCACAAGTGCCTTGGCTGCTGCTGCAGCGGGATCATGAGCCGCACCCCCTTCGCCGCTGCAGCAGCAGCCTCCTCCTCCTCTGCTGCTGCTGCAGCAGCAGCAGCAGCAGCAGCAGCAGCAGCAGCAGGGGAGTCCGCGTGCGGCTCGCGTGCGCGGTGCTGCAGCCTCTCCCTGTCCCTGCCGTTCTTCGCAGCGTCCGCCGCCGCCGCCGCCCTTGCTGCTGCTGCTGCAGCAGCAGCAGCAGCAGCAGCAGCAGCAGCAGCAGCAGCAGCAGCAGGACTCGCCTGCGGCGCGCGACAAAGGGCCAACAAAGGACACACTTCCGGGTCGTAAACCACCCGCCAGTGCTGCAGATGGAGGCGAATATAATCGTGGAATTCTTCGAGAAAGATTTCGGGAAAGTTTTGGGAAAAAGAGTTTTTAAAAAAAGATTTTTCTGAAAAAGATTTCTGAAAAGAAACCCCACAAAGATCAGCCCGGCATAAAAGACTCAGAAATCGAGTGCTGCCGTTGGCTGCGCAGGAGGGCTCTGTCTCGTGGCTGCGCAGCTTCCGCCGCAGCCAGTCCGCGTACATTTGCACGCCGCTGCTGCTGCTGCTGCTGCTGCTGCTGCTGCTGCTGCTGCTGCTGCTGCTGCTGCTGCTG